GCTTTGTCAGATCAGTCCCTGGAATGGGCAAAAGGAGGCACTGCTAGCTGATGAAAGATGGAGATAAGCCTTCAGCATGTGGAAATGAAGGTGTCCGTGTAAATACAGGTGTACTGACTTCCCCAGCTCACCCACAAGACTACAAGCATTATTTAGCCATATGGAAAAGCCACTTCAGGGAGGGAAAACCCATTTCAGGGAAAAAAAAAATGTATCTTTGCCTCTCCCTGCTGTAGGTCATCTCAAACACCAAGCAACTGGTTTCCACCAAAGTGACGTCTGCTATGGATGCTGCCTGTGAGGCAAAAGAAGCAATGGCTGATAAAGTGACTGAAGCTGTGGACCTCACTAAAAATGTTGTTGGAGACAGCGTCAAGCTGACTAGGTCCATGGTCACCTCCACTGTTAACAGTGCTGTAGAGGCTGCCCAAGGTGCCAAGCACCTTGTGACTAACAAGGTGACCGAAGCTGTGGACCTCAGTAAACACATTGTGGAGGACAGCGTTGGACTGACCAAGTCTGCAGTTGCTTCTACTATCGTCAATGCTGTGGAAGCTGCCCAAGGTGCCAAGGACCTTGTGACTAACAAGGTGACAGAGGCAGTGGATCTCACTAAACACATTGTGGAGGACAGCGTTGGACTGACCAAGTCTGCAGTTGCTTCTACTATTACTGCTGCTGTGGGGGCTGCCCAGGGTGCAAAGGATCTGGTGACCAACAGAGTGACTGAAGCAATGGACCTAACCAAAGGGGCTGTTCAGGATGGTGTTGAGAAGACCAAATCAATGGTCACCTCTACAGTCAATACAGCTCTGGATGCTGCATACGGCACCATAACCAGCAAAATAAATACAGCCTTGGAGCAGAGCAGAGAGGCTATCCAGGGGGGTGTGGAGATGACTAATTCAGTGGTGACCAACAGCATAAGCAAAGCCAAGGCAGTGAGCCAAGCAGTGGCAGGTGGTGTGGAATCTGTCCTGGGTATATCAGAAGATCTGGTGGATCACTACCTCCCGATGACAGAGGAGGAACTAGGTGAGAAAGTGCTTAGCTGGCGGTTGTGAATGCAAATCCTTTCCTACAGGACTAGAGACCACCTGACACTGCAAGATTCATCTTCCAAAGCGGACAGGTAGCTCTGAATTTGTCACCAAGCTGGCTGGCTGTCAACACCGACTTGCCACATGGTATGGGACAGAGTTCAGGCGTTTGCTAGCTGGCCCTTGCCCATCAGCCTCAAGGCAAATAAACACGTGGGTGCATGCTTCAACCTCTCTGTCAAGTCTGCTTATCTGAAGAGAATGCGCTGAGCAGGGCCCGGCCTACCTTTAATATCTGAGCAACTACAAACCCCTACTGTTTACGCAGCAAGCTTCAGCCTTCATATTTTTCAATGGGTGATCTTATCTCCTCCCCTCACTTCGAGCTGGGGGAGTGGAGCATAGCTGCATCTCTGTTCTTGTTTCCTCCAGGTAAACTGGCCACTGCTGTGGAGGGATTTGGTATGGCTTCCGTGGAGGAGCAGAAACAGCAGCAGAGTTACTTTGTGCGTCTGGGTTCCCTCTCTAACAAAGTCCGCCGCCGAGCCTACCGGCACTCCCTGATCAAACTGCAGCGCGTTAAGCAAAGCACCCAGGATACTCTCTCACGACTACAGCTGGCAATAAAACTGGTACAAACATGCTTTTTCCTTTTTCCTCCTGTCTGTAGCTTTCCTGCCCTACTATCCAGACAGAAGCTCTTCTTCCATCCTGCACCAGCTGCATGTCATCTTGGATCCCTCCCTGGGAGGGAAGCGCTTCTGCTTCTCTGATTCTGTGTGCTTGCAATACAGCTGTTCCTTTCATTTTCCCTATCAGATTGAATCTGTGAAACAAGAGGTTGGCCAGAAGCTTCTGGATGGGCAGGAGAAGCTCTATCAGCTGTGGGTGGACTGGAGCCTGACCCAGCCCAAAGGAAACCAAGTTAAAACTGCCTCCCAACCAGAGGTATCCCTAGAAGGGCACAGGTGGATGGTGTAGCTCTCCTCTGCTCCAGTAACTGAGCTATGTCTCTTTCCCAGCAGGTAGAGTCACGGACTCTAGCTATGCTGCGTATCATCACCCAGCAGCTACAACCTGTTTACACGAACCTGAGAACCAGCATCCAGGGCCTCCCCAGCAACATCCAAGAAGCTGTGTATCAGGCCGCTCGAAATATCCACAAACTCCATAGTTCTTTTTCCAGTGCTATGTCTTTCCAGGACCTCTCCAGCACCATGCTGGCCCAGAGCCAGGACCGTGTGGCAGAGGCCCGAAGGTCCCTAGATGACCTGTTTGAGTATGTAACTCAGAACATCCCTCTGAACTGGCTTGTGGGTCCCTTCAGGGCGATAGCTAAAGGGTCACGGGAGAGCAGAAAGCAGAAGAAGAAAGATACGGTGACTGATACAAAATCACCCGTGCTGGGAAAGGCTACGTCAAAGGAGGTGGCTCAGGCACCCAAAGGGCCAAAGGGAGCAAACAGGATCCCAGGGGAAGGGTGTGAAGTGCTAGAGAAGCTGGAAGAGAAGGCAGAGAAGGACACAGATGTGGCACTGGCTGCAAAGGAGATAAAAACTAAGGCACCAGAGGAAGATCTTTGAAAAATTCCAGCTTTTCTGGCTGAGGCTCCCTGGCTAGAACAACACTTCAGCTTTTAACTGTGTGTCCAACTGCCAACTGTGCCAAGAGTGCCTCCTGCACTCTCCCTGCCCCAGGATGATTTTACAGTAAGACATAGTTTGCAAGGAGACTGGATAACCAAGGTGGGGTGATTCCATATCTTGATTTACTATTTTTAAAATCATGCTGCTGCACTGAAAGGGAACAGGGGGACCTGCACTTCAGCTTTGTAAGTCAGCCCAGCTGGATGTGTGAATGGCTGATCCTTGCTGAGACAAGTTGAGGGAGAGAAGATGGGGTCTCAACTTATTTTTAATGTTGGATTTGTTTTTAATTCGTCCAAGCTGCAGAGATCTTGAGGATGATGCACGTGACCTGTGATACCATTTCTCCCCTTCTACAAGTTTAAAAATATGTGTTACAGACACGACTTTCTTTCTGCCTGTTGTGCTTCTGGCAAGGCTCAGCCCTGCAGCCCAGCAGGAACAGCTGGGGGCCAGAGGCTGCTTCTCAGAAAGACACTTCTCTTTACGGATCAGCCACGCTTTTTCTTTCGTAGAGAAACACTTGGTGAGGTGGGATTTTTCTTTTCAGCGTGCCCATTTGCAGCGGGATTCTCTTTCCTAGCGTAGAAATGACTTCAGGGATCGCCTGTTTGTGTGTGTAACTCCACGCACGAAACGCTTCGCAGCCATGAAGAATCTGGCAAAGGAGGCAGCTTCTGCCAGGAGTTACTCTGCCGTGGTAGCAGGATACCCTGCTGTTAAAACTGGGGAGACGATCGGTGCTGGTTATTTTCCTGGCAATCAGTGCTTTGTAATCATTTCTAATGTAACTTCTTTTGGTAACACGTCCTGGCACGGTCCCTGTGCTAAGGCTGGAATAACAACAGCCAGACTTCAGAATAAAGCGTGACCTGCGTTCAAAGAAATGCCCGTTTCTCGTGCGTATCTGAAGCTGCAGCCCCCAGCCCAACTTGGTAAGCAGCCTGCGCTTAACAAAGCGCTTCTCCGGGCAGCCTGGATGCTCTCTGCTTGTGCTGGAGGAAAATAAAGAAATGCTTTCAGCAGGGGCTGCTCTCTGCTCGTGCTGGAGGAATATCAATGCTTTCAGCGGGTCTCACGTTCTGCCTCCGTCCGAGGCAGAAAAGCAACTTCGCTGTTCGCCCCCCCCGACTCTCCCCTGCCCTCCCGCGGCCCGGCGCCT